GTTCCAAAGGAATCCTATGATCAAATACCCCCCTTCGAGGTGGCAAGTCTGTTGGATCATCAAATATCATTTTAAACTCTTGTTGTAAGGCTTCCAGCTCAGTTTCTGCTTGAACATGCTCTTTGTTCTCAACACATCGTATAAGGGTAGAAGGCTGCTGACTTTCACTTGTTTGGAGTTGTAACAAACAGAATTGGATTGAGTTAGCAAACCATTTTGCTGTAGGATTTCCAGAGACCACTTTCATCTTTTTATTCACCATGCCCTTAAGCAGGAAGGTGTTACCATCCATATCAAATTTCATGGTCATTTCCTTAAAATCCAAACACACTGGCCCTAGTGTTTCCAGCCATTGTATGCCCAAAACCATATCACAGCTTCCCAAGGGAATGAGTAATACATCGGCAACAAATTCTTTATCTTGCATGGTCCATGTAAACTGTTCACAAGCATCTTGGCAAGATATTGTATTCCCATCTGCAACTGCTACTGCTTGCCTAGGCATTGGTTTCATCTTGCACCCCAGGGCTTTGGCAGTATCTAAATTTAGAAAATTGTGAGTACTCCCTGAATCAATCAGAATATGAATTGCCTTCTTTCCTACCAACCCTATCATTCTCATTGTTTGGTAGCTATGTCCCCCAGTTAGAGCTTGCACAGAGATACAAGCATCAGAATTATCGCCCTTGAAAGTAGAATCCACTTCACCATCCAGGTCAACATTCCTGTCCTCCCTTGGTTCCTCCTGACATGCCCATTCGGCAGGAATTTCAACAGTAAACAGTTGAGGCTCCTTGAAGCTACATTTATGGCCCTTCTCAAAAGGTTTGTCACAATAATAACACAACCCTTTAGCTATCTTTTCAGCTCTAACATCAGCTGGAATATATTTATAGCTTCTGTTTGGAGCTTTTTGCCCATGAAGATCAGGTTTCTGCCCGGTACCAGACTTGACGTTTGGGGTAGGTAAGAGAGGAGGTTTTCCAAAATTACTCAAGTAATTTTTCTGCCCTTCCATCCATGGTTTCTGACTACTAGTGTAGCTAGATTTGGAAAACTTTGACCCTTCCACCTCCAAGGCTTCTTCCTTTAGCCTTGCATACTCTATAGCTTGTGCTATTCCAGTAGGCTTGAATGCCTTAACAAACAGCCTAACACTTGGTTTCAACCCTCCAATAAAAGAGTCCAGGATGTAAGAGTCTGGTAGGTAATGGTTATTCTGAACTTGAACAGATTTCAAGTCTTCAAACTCATCAATATACAGTTCCAAAGCCCCTTTTTGTTCCAGTTTCTTAAATTGTTCTACCACATTACAGCCCTTCTCATCTCGAAATCTGGCACTTAAATCGATGATAAACTCATGCCAAGCCACATATTTTCTATACGAGAGGTAACTAGTGACCCAATTTTCAGCCTTATCCACCATATGTAAGCTAGCAATATCTACCCACTGATCATCCGGAATTTT